AACTATGCGATGCGCTACTGTCCGTGGTCTTCGAGAGAGAAACTCTGCGGTGAACAAACTGGCCTGCGTACGTAATGCTATACTGTACCCGCTGGTCGATAGCACCTGGCCAGTGGCCTTCCCTATTAAATTGCATATGTTTTGCACTGCTAGTTAGCGTTATGTGCTTCTTAGCGATGTATCGAGAAGTCTGAGAGGTTCCGCGACACTTCCCAGGTTTTCATGTGCTCCTGTGTCGTTACCGTTTGGAAACCCGGCGCGCTCTCTTCGGCATCGGGCAAGAACACCGGGTTTTGGGTGCGCTATAGTCACGGTCACACGCTGTAGTACATATTGCTGTGGATGGCTGTCAAGAAATGTTTACGCTGAAAACGACGATTTGGAGGCGACTTTGTGCCATTGCCTTTAAATGAAGTTGCCCGAAACTCTCCTGTAAATACGCTTCTCTACAGCTTCTCGCATGCGTGTCTTCGCGTAACAACGTACAGATCCATCGGGGCAAGTGGCGTCCATGGGATACCTATCGTCGAAGCGGACGAACGCGCACGCAAGAGAGAGATCGAGAGACAGAACTATACATTTTCTTCTCGCTCAGGGTCGAGGGAGGCGGCGGCTGAGAAGCTAGCCCTACCGGAGAATGCCTTTGTCAGGCGTCGGCCAGGCATTGGGTCTTGGCGGCGTGTTCCGCTGGCCTGACTGCCCAGAGTTGGTCATATATACGGGCACGTGCCGAGCAGCGTAGCGGAAAAAGTATGCTGCAAACACCAATGTCCTCCACCCGTCCCTTACTTTTTGAAACGGCGCCAGGGGACACTTAAAGCAGGCATACTGATGTAGAGTATGCGAGGCAACGCCATTCAGTGTGCACTATAGGGCAACGTTTTGGTTCTAAATACGTAGAACTGAAGTGTTGCTGCTACACTCGCGGACATACTCACTTGGCAATAACAGAATATGGCGGTGACCCTTCTGCATATGGGTAGTACTCACAGGTTGAAATTCGACGTCGTATTACTTGTGATAACGGCTGCTATGATAGAGTGCTCGTCATGTTGGTTTCACAAGGAATAAAAGCAGTAGAAGGCAGCTGACGCAATCGTCGCCCAGCTTTCTCAAAATGAGTGCTAGAACAATTTTCACAATGAGAATAAGCATTTTGGTGTTCGTTGCAGGGATTGCGGCTGCTTGCTCCCTTTTCACGGCAACGCATGCATTGGCGAAGAATGACTTCTCAGCTCACGCGCAAAATCATCGATGCTGATCGCATCGGTAAGCTATGTAGCGTTTGCGTCAGCTCCCTTTCCGTTGCTATCTCACCATGTGAAAACCTGTTCTTTGTAGTCGGAACATGATGAGATTTTTGCAGATTTCTTGCAGTTTTTGCAGAGATAGTACTTCGCCTCGACATGTGTGCTCTAACAACGCCTTCATCTATTCACTTTTTACCCTCTTTCGTGGGAGTAGACACGCTCACGAGTATGTATCTTCATGAACGTAAAACTGTTGCAGCAATAAAACTATGCTGTTAAAGTTGCGTATGTAGTGTGTGGACGGTGGCCCCGTGTGTCATCCTTTTGTTGACACTGTGTCCTCGCGCTAGAAGTGTACTGCTTAGAGTAATGATGGCTCCGAGACAAGGCTTCGAGTGAAAAATTACGCCGACAAAACATCTACTGAAGACACAGGAAACGAATGCACACGGCCCTAACCTTTCGCGTTTGAATCCGTGAGTATTGTACTCCTACGCGAATTCAGCAAAGTTTGGCGCGTCTTTTTTTATCGCTGTGGAGAGTGAAGACTGCGCAGCACAAACGAGGGTACCACTTGCATTTGTCTACTCAGACCAGTGTTTGCGTGTAAAGTTTACACTAATATCTCGGGTTTTGTGTGTGTTCCGAAACCACCACATTATTGTGAGGCACGCTGTAGTGGGGGGCTCCGTAGATTTCACACGTGTGGTGATGTCTAATGCGTACCGGCATTGCACCGGTGCACATGGCTTCTCGTTAATCTCCCATTCATCAGAAATGCAGCCACGATCACTGGGATTCAAGTCACTGCTGTCGGGTCAGCAACCAAGCCCTGTAACCACTTCCCACCATGGCGGACTACACCTTTGTAAGTTACATTTCTAGTTATTTGGGTAAGTGTCTTATAATTTTGTCAAAACCTAACTGGCACCAAACCACTACCTTTTCACTAGTGAGTGAATTTTCGTAGTGACGTTTGCTGCCATCCATGTGCAAAGCAAGATGTGCGAGAAAGCGCAACATGAATGCTGTCACATTACATAACGTCGTTTCACGGCGTAGCTATAACGGCGCCGAACGGTGCACTTTGCTCTATGATGGTAGATTGATTGATTGATTGATTGATTGATTGATTGATTGATTGATTGATTGATTGATTGATTGATTGATTGATTGATTGATTGATTTGTGGGGTTTAACGACCCAAAACCACTATTTGATTATGAGAGACGCCGTAGTGGAGGGCTCCGGAAATTTTGACCACCTGGGGTTCTATTACGTGCACCCAAATCTCTATGATAGTAGAGGTAACACCGATGCACACGACAAGAAATAAAGTGAAACCAAGACATGTAAGTGGAAATCGACTCTTCTATCTTTTTATGCATAAATCTCGCGCGCTCGCGTTCAAACCGCGAACATCCGCGTTTTGAAAAAAAAAAAAAACTCCATTGACGAAGTTCGCCACAGATATAGAATATTATGAACACTCGATGAACAAAATAAAGCCACGTTGCGCTTTTTTTTTATCACATATAGATTGAATTCGCACACTATTACACTGAGATCATGAAAAAAAAAGGATATTCCAAAAGTCACCGTCAAAGCATTCCGTACTTATGGTTATACGGCGAAGCTGAAGCGCTTGAAACAAAGCTTTAGTACTTTGTTAGTTCCAATGATTAATCAAAGTCTTTATCAATTACTGGTTATCTCTGCCATGAAAACGTTATTTTGTGTTCCCCACTCATGCGTTTCGTTCTTCCTTTTTTGTGTACCACTTCTGAGTGGTGGTGCTTGACTAACTTTTTGTGGCACATAAGCATGACCAGCTTTCGCGCTCGTAGGACTGGCGAATTTTGGTTCCGCTATAGTCGTATGCAGCTTCATTAGCGAAACGCAAAAACTGCACTGTCTGGCTACAGCCGTTCTTGGGCTTGCACTCTTCAGCAAGCTCTCATTGATCATAATTTATCCGAGCTCTTCGTAACACTATTAAAATCCCGGCAAACTTTCGACGCAAGAAAATATACACCCCATCAAAGACTTGCAGGCGGCCTCAATATATTGAACTAACGTCCGGCAAAGGCTGTCCGAATCACCGCATTGTTTTTGCAGCCCCATGGGGACAGGATAAATTACTTCGTATATTGAAGCTTTTTAAGGCGCGTCCCATGAACGTAGTCTAACATCCCGTCAAAGACTTGTAGGAAATCCCAATATATTGTTCTAATGTCCTGCAAAGGTTTTCCGAATCATGGCATTGTTTTTAGCACTATGAGGACAGGATATTAAAATTAATTTATTGAAACTTTTTAGTGCGCGTGATGTAGTCAGGGCAATAAATAGCACACAATGCGTCGAGAAATTTCGACAGCGAATCAAACTATTCTCAAGTTGTAGGATTCCCACCTAAATGTAACCAATATAGTGGTTGTATGAGCTTGTAGAGTCAATAATCACATCAAGGATTTAAGAGGAACTCGTGACAGTGCGTCCGTGTGGGTTTGTCATGTAATTACCTAAGACCAAAGTTCTATAGCCGAGTGCGTGCTTAGCCTCGTACTCAACTTAAACAAAGCAGTGAGCTTAATGCTTCAACTTGACGCAGATGACCTACATTTGACAAACTTTTTGCCTTATAAGTTATAATTTGAATACGCAAAAAAATCTAGCCCAATACGCCACTTTTCTATTTGCTTTACTGATTATACCCCTCTTGGCTTCTAAATAAGGGTACAATTTCCTTAGGAATGGTGTATTGATACGCTGCTTGTTGTTAGATTATCAACTTTTTAAATCAAGAACATGAACCAAATTTATCAACTATTTGTGGTCGTCTGACAAGCGTCGCCGATGTTTGGTAGTACATGTCAATATCCTCGGTTTGTACGATGATGGATAAAGTGAGGCGATGGCCCTAACCAAGAAGAGATGTTTAACTATCGATTGCTAAATGATATACATACTTCAGGGGCACAATAATTTGGTCACACGAAACAGGCTACCTGTACAGCTCTCCTGACATTTCATTTTCGCGATCGAATCCCGTTCGCGAATTGAAAAGTGCGCTCGGAACGACGAAATCCGTTGGTATGACCGATACACAGGGTTTATCAAGTGGCAGCATCTTAAACTGTAATAGCCTGGCAAAGACACAATTTTGCCAATAGTTCTTACACGGCTACTATCGCATGACACGTGACATCGTAGGACAAATGCCAAACAGCCCGTCTTTCTTCTCATTTAGAGCAACGCCTATATACTAAGACTACACGTGTCCTAAGCTTGTCGAAAAGATGTACTGATCCTTGCCGTCTGCTTACGAGCTCACAAAGTCATGTCCGCGTCTTTGTCGAGACACTTTGAAGAGCGCATCATTTACAGTTGGCCACTGGTTCCGTTGGCCACGAACGACTGACCATGACTTGGCGCTGTTGTCGTGTCCTAGCGGCCACTTTCGCTGCAACAGCGCACGTGCACTGGTCAACGCGTCCTGGTACCATGACTGCAGAGGACGTCACTGTTGTCCGCCGTTGATGTGACGCAGACAGCAAGCGAAACCACATCACGGGCGTTCGCACAAACGAATCCAGGAAACGTGGCTGTGAATGACGCTACCGTTCTTCGCCGATGGTGTCATCGTTGTCCGCCGTGCATGCGATGTAGACAGGAGCGAAATCACGTTGTCACAACAACGGCGTCCACAAAAGCGACGCGCAGTCAAATCTCGTGACGCATTCGCATACGTCACGGCTTGACGTCACTAATACCACCTCCGGAGTCCGTAGGGCTTCCGCCGTTCAGCGCGGGAGCGAATGGCGAGAAGAGACCAGGACTAGGGGTTCCCGGAAACTTGCCTCCTCTTCCGGTTTCGCCGCCGTGGTTCTGCACTGAGGCCACCTGTGTCGGCACGGGGCAGCAAGCCGCCAGAGGACCCGCGGCTGCGGCTGGGATGGCCACGCCTCCAGCCTGGTTCATGTACGCGATGATGCGACGCAGTTCCTCCAGGGCGTTGGCCTACAATGACAGACAGTTTAGACGTGAAATTTATCCAGTGTAAATACATGTAAGTGGCGCTAACAGGATTGATTCAGTCTCGCAACGCGGCCTTTAGCTCAAAACTTTGCTCTAAGCTTGTCCATAGATAAATATCAAGAAAAGCCAGGAAGGCTAACCACGTAGGTCTTAATATCCTTCCTGCACCGAACTAACCATGAGCGTAAACAGTGTCCTCCATTAGGGGGAGTGGGTGAAAGTACCACTGCGGCTCTCCCCCCCCACCTCGTAAAATTATAGAGTAACCAAGCTTCGCAACGAATGCAAACACGAATGAAGTGGTCACGTGCTTCTCAGAAAGGCCTGCATTTGATCCCCGGCTTTTAAGGGATGGGTAGGGGGGAGACAGCTGAGATGTAAATGGTTCTTGTAATGCAACATCACAGTTCTCGGTCGCCGTTGTAAAAATCCTGCGAAGCCATAGCCCTGCACTTCCCACAATGGCGGGACAGGTACGACTGAGTAAAGGTGCGTGGCAGACTTAGCAGACCTCTTAGACGAGTGGGAGGGTGGCCGCCCCCCGGCCCCTCCCCAGGCGCACACCTCTGGAGCCGGCCATATCTTTCTACAGACAGACAGAGGGATGGGCCGAGAAACGGGCTCACAGACTAACAGATGGAGGAACAGGCAAATGAAAGCAAGTACTTGTAGACTGACTGACGGACAAAAGCGCCATACAACCCGCCAGGTCGACGAACACATTGACAAAGACGGCTGCGCAGAATTATGTTGTGTACGTAATACAGACCGAAGCATTCTTGGAATATATAAATGAGCTGACAGTAAAACCACGAGACAGACAAGTCAATGGACATGTCAACTGAAAATAACATGTAGTTATGAACCAGTAGGACTAAAGGAGAGACAGAAGGCCAGACAAATGGACAGGCAGAGACTAGCTGCACACTTAGGCAGGTAGATACAGATAAAGAGATGGGGGGAAAATGGGGACATACAGACAGATGCACATCCGTATACACTACCTGCATGAGAATGTAGTTTTTGGCGAGCAGGAGCGTGGCGATCTTGGAGAGCTTGCGCACAGACGGGCTGTGCGCGTACGGAATGACGGAGCGCAGCTCGTCGAGCGCGTCGTTCAAGTCGTGCATACGCCTTCGCTCGCGCGCGTTGATGCTCAGCCGCATGGTCTTGGCGTGCCGGTGCTTGCGGCCCCCGGCCATCATGGCGGACGCCTGACTCGCGGGCGGCGCCCGAGGAGGCTCGGGGGTCGACGACGGGGCACGCTGCCGCTCGCCGGGTTGGCTCACTGCAGGCAGACTGGCCAGGCTGGGCGCCGACGATACGGCCGCTGTGACGGCGGCGAGGGAGGGTCGTGCTCCGACGGAGACGACGGAGCCTGCATCAACCACAAAATGAGAAGAGGAGCAAGGTAAGACAGGCAGTTTACCCAGACGCTTGTCCGGTTTGCTACCCTGCACCGGTGGAAGTCTTAAAGGGGCCAAAAGAGACACAGAAAGAGAGGAAGATATTGAAAGAACTACAAGAACACATGGGGACCAAAGCACATCATGAACAAACGGTCGCACCGGTCTTTACACTGTACGTGGGTGGTGGTGGTGGTGGTGGTGGTGGTGGTGGTGGTGGTGAAAACATTTAATAACCATTAAATGGTTACAGAGAGGTAATTGGGTTGGGGCCTTATTGGCCTCCTACCCTCACAGCACTAGGTGGAACCCCTATTCCGGGGCTCCATTGGCAAGCAACGCCGCCCGCGCACGTTGAACCAGAGCCTCTTGGGCCTTCAGGTCTTGACAGCCGAGCAGGGCCGCCTCCCAGTCCTCTCTCGTGGGATTGGGGTTGGGGGGGATAGATGGATTAGACTGGCACGCCCAGACGATGTGAAAGGTGTCAGCCACCTCACCACAGAACTGGCACGTGCCATCAAAGGATGAATTGAAATGTTTTAGCACCGCCGGGCACAGTACGGTATTGGTAAACAGTTTTAAAAGGAGGCGCTCGTCAGCGCGATGCAGTCCCTTACAAGGGTCTGGATAGCGCCGGTGCTCCTCCTTGTAGTAATTGGTAATATCTTTGAATGAAAGGGCCGAATTGTCTGATTGCGAGTAGGCTTCCAAAGACAGGGAGATAGCCCGGGAAGAGAGTGCGCGGGCGGCCTGATCGGCCTGTTCGTTACCCCTGAGTCCTTGGTGACCGGGTGCCCAAACCAGATTTCGCGGAGTTGGATTAACGTATCGGCAGCTAGGTTCCAGTATGCGCTGAGCAAGCGGTGAAGCCCACCCTAGCTGATAGTTCCGACAGGCCCCTCGTGAGTCGGTGATGATATGTTTAGAAGAGGGATAGGTGAGAGCCAGAGCGATGGCAACCTCCTCCGCGTGTGTTGCGCTGTAGGCTTTGAAAGTGAGCCCGTTTACGGTGTTTGCGTTGTGTATGACTGCGGCAGTATACCACCCCCCATGGTGCGGGCCGGCAACGTCCACGTAGCACACGTGTTCCTCTTGACCAAAGTGTCGCTGCAACGCTTCCGCGCGCGCCTGGCGGCGACCACTGTGGTTTTCTTCTGTACGTACCAAGGTAACACCGCAGTCCTTCCGTACCTTTTTTTTTTCTGGTCACGAAAGCTCGCCGGCACGCTACGGAGTAGCGAAACCTAGCGCAAAAATATGCTGCGCCGCGGCACCACTGTCGCTTGCGGGCACCCTTATCCGGCGATATTTCGCAGTGGTTGCAGATGCGGCTGGCCAGAAATGAAAGTTTGCACACGCATTCTGTATCTGTGATTGCGCCCCGCCGCGGTGGTCTAGTGGTTAAGATACTCGGCTGCTGGCCCGCAGGTCGCGGTATCGAATCCCGGCTGCGGCGGCTGCATTTCCGATGGAGGCAGAAATGTTGTAGGTCCGTGTGCTCAGATTCGGGTGCACGTTAAAGAACCCCAGGTGGTAGAAATTTCCGGAGCCGTCCACTATGGCGTCTCTCATAATCATATGGTGGTTTTGGGACGTTAAACCCCACATATCTATCTGTATCTGTGATTGCATTTTCATAAGAAACAAGGTCAGGTATTGTATAGCTGAAACAGTACGTTCGCATGATGATGCTGTTCAGCTGCGGGTGCACATACTGGTTGGAGTCCGGCATAAAACACTTCGTTTGCCTGTGTGTCTAGAACCATCGGCGAACTGCGCAGAATACTAAGGTAAAGCAGTAGCAATCAGTCTCTACTCTTATTCGAGAAACCGTGACAAAGGAGGCCTAATAAAAATTAGCAGTGGTTTAGCTCTGCTATGCCAGGATATACGTAGTGTAAGCTACGAACGTGCTAGCGAGCGAGGTCATGTGAATAAGCCACAAGCGTCCTAGTGACACCTCTCTCCGAGAATATACTTTTACAGCGCAAACATAAAACGATCCACAAAGAAAGCGACGACACACACCAGCGCTGTCATCACAGCGCTGGTGTGTGTCGTCGCTTTCTTTGTGGATCGTTTTATGTTTGCGCTGTAAAAGTATATTCTATGGCTATGAACCAACTAGGCCCAAAAGAAGTTTTACTCTCTCCGAGAGCTTCCAGGCCGTCTCCGACGCACCACATGTGCGCCGTGGGACATCACTTCTCCTCGGGCATGCGCAGCGCGCCTCTCGATAAGGCACCCGAACCTCCTTAAGCTCGGCCAGTGTAGCTTACGCTAAAGAAACAACTGCACTAGCGTGACACCTCGGGAGGTGCGAAGCACGGGTGTTCCTTATGCGACACGTCACATTTTTTGGTGTTCATAGTTTCGTGACAGCACCCAGTGTCTTATTTAAGTTCGTGTAGAATTACGTCTAACGTTTGTATAAGTTAAAATCACGCAGTTCCAAAGTTTCTACTGCATATTTGTCTCTAGTGTTTGAGTAGACTGATTCAATAAACTTCTTATCTCAAGAGTATAAAAAGCACATGATAGTAGAGTACACATAGTGGTGCAAATCATCGGCCGTATTTTTTTTTCTTTTAAAGCGAACTTCGGCGACTTCTTAGCGAATTTCGGTGACTTTGAGCGTATCTATCTATCTAGCCGCCTACGATTTTAGCTCTACTGACCGTTTCGGTAATGGTATTGATACTAAACTTGGTATGGCATTTCATGACTATGAAGAACATATTGGAATAGTCATAACATGAAAATCATGACATGGATGTCATGAATGTCATGATTTACATTTCATGGGCCTGAAGCTCTTGCGGTGGTTTCGTTCACATGGCATGTTGCAAAACTGGTATGATATGACATGATTGCATGGTGCACGCTAGCGACGGACTCTCACATGAATATTATGACATGCGTGTCATGTAACAACATGACTACATGCCGAGCTGATGATGCGCTCACGGCTGTTTCGCTAGCGTCGCATATACCAAATTTGGTATTACGGTATGTGAATGGATGACGAAGGTGTGTGACTGGTGCAAACATGATAATCATGATATGCGTCTCATGTAACAACATGACTACATGCCACGCTAATGATGCACTGACGGCCGTTTCACTAGTTTCAATAATACGAAATTTGGTACTACGGGACGTGAAGGGATGATGAAGGTATGATACTAGTGCAAACATGATAAACAAGAGATTCGTGTCATGTAACAACGTGACTACATGCTACGCTCATTATGCGCTCGCGGCCATTTCGCTAGCTTCACATGTACTAAACTCAGTATTACGTGATGCAAACGGATGACATAGGTAAATGACACATACAAACAAGATAATCACGACATGCGTGTCATGTAACAGCCTGACTACATACCAAACTCATGATGCGCTCGCGGCCGTTTCGCTAGCTTCACACATGCCAAATTTGGTATTACGCGACGTCAATGCATTGCGAAGGTATGTGACTGGTGCTATGATATTCATGAGATGTGTGTCACGTGAGAACATGACTACGTGCCACAGTCAAGGCGCCAATACCTTTCGACGTAACGCGGTGCGCATGCTCGCCAGCAATCATTTTGACGCGTCACGCCGGCGTTGCGACGCCAGGCGCCGGTCCTGCTATATACTCGCAGGCATGCGCCGCGCTGCGTTGCTTTGACGCATGCGCGTTTCAGCGCGTCCGGCGTTTCTCCGTCACAAAAAGAGGGAGACGCAGTGTTGTCTGGGTAACGCATCGGCGCGAAATTCAGCATGTCACATTTCGCACCGGTTCCCGTTGGGCCGCGCCGACAGACGCTGGTCACGCCGGTCGCGTCTGGCGTCAAACTAAAGCGCTCGCGTTTTGCTAACGTAGCGTCGCTGGCCCAACCTGCGCGCCAAGGAGGATTAAAAAAATGCTGGAGTGGAAATATTTGCCCACGAGTGAAGCCGTGCCTCTGACAAGATGGCGGACACTGCGGTCATCTTACTATGGACATGATGAAGTATCACCGTTCCGCGAATAAGAACGGAGCGTATTCCTCGCACGCCCAATGAGTGTAATGTGGAAACCTTTTCGTGTCACATAGTGCTACAAGTGCGTCTTAGTGTTCCTAGTTTTCCTTAGTGAGCCTCTAAATGGAGGCAAAGTTATTTGGAGATTCTGTCGCCCATACTCGTTTTTGTGTGTGATTTCATCGGAAACAACTATCTTTCAATATAGAACTAACGTAGCATTTACATCAACATATCAAAGCCACTTTATCTTTAAGTGGGCACAAACAGAAAAGAGCATGTTTCCGCCATCTTGGCAGTGGCAAAAGCTGGCTTCACTTCTGCTGGCAAAGCATTGCGGAAGCTTCCACTCCAGTAATTTTTTATTTTTTTTCATCCTCCTTGGTGCTCGCACGTCAATGCTACATTGAAGTATATTAGGTTCTTCTTGATGCGCTCGCGGCCGTTTTCGCAGCTCCACATATACCAAAGTTGGTGTGAAGTGACGTCAATGGATGACGAAAATATATGACTGATGCAAACAAGATAATCCTGACACGCGTGTCATGTAAGAACACGGCAACATGCCACGCTCATAGCATGCTCGCGGTCGTTTCGCTTATACTAAATTTGGTATCATGTGATGGTAATAGATAACGAAGGTAAATGACGCATCCAAACATGATAATCATGACACGGACGTCGAGTACGGCATCATTTACCTCAACCTTGTAACTTTGTGCTGATTTCAAAATGACATATCAACCTTTCTCATTCGTGCTTCGATATCATCGATTCCCACTGCATGTACTTGGGATCTGCCAATTTTTTTTCTGAAATAGAGTTATAACGCCTTTGTGGAAAGAGGTTAGTAGGATAATATCTCTGAAACACTTGCGAATAACGCGTGACATAAATGGACCAATGATAGGCCATGCAGAAATGTACATAAAACTCTTCAGAGAGCCCATCAGGCCTGGGG